TCTTACTAAGTCCTGGCACGCTGGAGGTGGGCAGGAGTCCTGTGCTCCTCTCCTGTATCCGTGGTCTCCACAGGTACGTGGACACTGACAGAGCTGAGTGAGGTGCTCAAGGTGCCCGTGACATCGCTGAAGCGCAAGATGACGCTGTGGCTGCAGCAGGGGGTCCTGCGTGAAGACCCCCAGGGCACCTTCACCGTGATTGAAGAGGAGCAGAAGGACCAGGTGGAGAAGGTGGTTCTGATAGACAGCGACGAGGAGGGGGACTCTGCCATGGCGTCACAGGCTGACCAGAAGGAGGAAGAGCTGCAGGTACCCATCCGTGTGTCTCAGCTGCTTGTGAAGCCGGCAGGATGGTTCAAACATCCTGTCCTTTTGGTTTTGGGGAAGGTGATTCAGGTGGTGGATTCAATTTGCACTTTGGATTTGCATTTTCCATTGCAAGTCCTGCACGAGGGCTTTCTGTAGTGGGTATCTCTTGATTAACGCTCAGATGCTGGGTCACAACATTCCCTCCAGAAAAGTGCCTTGCTGCTGAGCCAAGCGACCATTTGGAAATCTCCAAATCCGTTGGTTCAGTTTAAAACCAGAAAAGTCTGAGACATGATGTCATATTTGAAAATAGTCATAACTTATTTGGATTCACCCAGGCGGTGTTTTTTGGCACTTAGACTGCCAAAAAAGTTGACCCACCACTAACAACTGGACCTTTGCCTTCTCTCTGTTGTGGTTCCTGGACACTTCAGTGCTTTTCCTACCCATGTGAGTGTGTTGTGCCTCTGTGCAGCACAGAGGTGTTGTACCAGGGTTTATCCACTGAGGGTCATGCACGTACTGCATGTCAAACCCTGCCTTCTATCCATGTGTCCCGGCACCTGATGCTGTTCTCTGCTATTTCCTGTTCAAAGACCACATGCTCATGGCTGAGAGCAGAACTTACTGCCAGCCTCAGCCCTGCTTTTGGGGTATGGGGTGCTAAAGTACCCCTTTTCTTCATGGTATGGGTGTTGGGTGATTTACTGTTGCTTGCATGTGCCCCTCTGCAGCTCTTCTGGACGTACATCCAGGCCATGCTGACCAACCTGGAGAGCCTGTCCCTGGAGAGGATTCACAGCATGCTGAAGATGTTTGTGATGACAGGCCCAATGGTTACAGAAATCGATACTCAAGAGCTGCAGGGTTTTCTCCAGAAAAAGGTCCGGGATCAGCAACTCATCTACTCCGGAGGCGTCTATCGCCTGCCCAAGAACTGCAACTAGGCTGTCCCTGCGTTCCCCTGTGTCTCACTTCTCTGTGCCTGTGCTCCCGAGTGCCACCCAGCTGGGCAGTTTCTCTGCTCTGGGGACAACAAAGGGGTGTCCTTTGCCACATGGAGACAGCTCAGCAGCAGCCTGGGCTGTGTGCCCCACAACTTTTGGGACTGGGCCCGCTCCGCTCATTGCTTTTCCTCGAAGATGTGTGTCTGGGCCCACTTCACTGGTTAATAAAATCCAGAAGTCTCCTTTTTCAGATGATACCAACTCTTCCCTTCCTCTCAGCAGAGCACTTTTGGCATCAGCTTCCCACGCTGACCGGGCAGGCAGGAAACTCCCCGCTCAGCCAGGCACAGTCTGCCCTTCACTGGGAGGTTTTGGGAGGGGGGCTGTTGGCTCCAGTTGCTGTCTGGGTCTCTCTGTGTGGCTGCAGCAGCTGGCTCTGATGAACAAGACCCTACATAAGAGCAAGTGTTTGTGCTGTCTCCTTTGGCTTATGTGGGAGGAAGACTCTAGGGTCTGCTTGCCCTTGTTTGGGGCTCTTAAATTATGTGGAATAATTTTATTGTGGGATGAGGAACACTTGAGGCGGATGGGATGCAGTGGTTCTTCAGGGCAAAGCTGTTTAGGGCTGGAGGAGAAGTGGCTTATCCTGGCGCTGGTAGGACTGCATTACTATGGCATGAATACACCTCTCCCTTCCAGCACCATGGTGGCTGCCCCCAACCTGGGTATCAAGCAGTGGGTTTCAGAGCTGCATTCAGTCTCTGCTGAATAGCATTCAGGGTTCCTTGGTCCTGCTTTCTGGGTGGGTTTTGCTCATTGGGAGGAATATGCTGAGGAAATCTGGCTTTTACTAAAAACTTACTTTCTGTGAAGCAAAGAATGAGTTTCCACAGCCCAAGGAGTCTTTCCCTCCCTCTGCTGAATCGTCTGTCCCAGCCTGCGGAATTGAGACACCAAAGAGCCACAGCTAAAGCGCCAGAGCAGCCTCTAACCCTGACTGCACTGCTGTGCTCCCAGGTACATGAGAGACTCATGGAACCTGGGAAACCACCCAGATTTAACATTTACCCTTGTTTTACAGTGCCTAAAGCCCACAAATCCCACACTGCAGGCATCCTTCACACAGCTGCAGGCAGTGGGGTACGGCACTTGCCTTACCCCATGCCCCTTCATGGCTTTTCCTCTGGGTGAGAGCGTTCCTGTTTCCCCGCAGCCCTTTACTCCAGGCTGGTGCTGGTGTGGCACTGGGAGCTGGTTGGTGTGTTACAGTAAATATTCCTTGTGCTCTATAACAACAACGAACCTCAGTCTGTGGGTGTGTAAGAGATTACTCCGGGAAGATGAACAGCAGTGAATCCCAAATCATAGCAGGCAGGCAGGGAGATCCATGCCCAACCGCACGAGGAGCCCCAGCAGGCCCTGGGAGGACACCAGGCTGGAGCTGTCATCATCTGAGGGTGGATGGGGTGGCCAGGACACGGCACTGGCCTTGTCATCGCTGTGCCCAGAGTGGGATGTGGCTGGGGACGCCCCTGGGAGCCACACCTGGGATCTATGTGGAGGACACGAGACACAAACTCTTGTCAAGCTGGGGCTGGTTTACCCCAGGCAGAGGTCTCTGCTGCGGGCCCGGTCCCCTCCAGGTCCTGGAGGGTTTTCCCTCCCCAGGTTTGGATACAGGGAACTCCCGTCCAGCAAACACCTCCTGGGGACTTCTCCACGTCCCCTCAAAGGCTGCTCAGCTCCTGCTTAGACGCTGCCCCACCACTGAATGAATCAAAGCAGCCCACAGGTGCCTGGGCTCCATCCAAAACCCACATCCTCTGGGAGGGCAGGAGGGAGCAAGATGTGGGCAGGTTGTGTGGGCATCTCTGCAGGAGTGTACGTGCTGCAGGTGCAGAGCCTCAGGGCTGCGTTTCACAGCTTATTTTATTTTATTTTATTTTATTTTAT